TTGGAGCTGGCGACATTTTGTAAGATTTCATAGTTCACCCTGTATAACATTCACTTACTATAGCTGCGCTAGCTACGACACAACTTACGCTAAGTGTCAAGAACTTCCGCTAGCATTTTGAAAAGGATTTAACAACTGGGGGGGGCTAGCGTTGATTTAGCCCCCCCCCCACCCCCCGAATAAATACCTGTATATGTTTTAAAGGGGTAATGCGGTTGCTCGAATTTTACCTGCGCTAGCTTTAAGGAAGCTTCATATATATTTTTGAAAAATTAAAAATCACTTGTAGGGGCTCATGCTTTTTTTTGTCCACCCTGTATGACAGCTACGATAGCTCCGCTAGCTATGACACAACTTGCGCTAGGCTGCGCTAGGTGTTACGAATGTGCGCCAGCATTTTTGAGAAGATCGAATAACTGGGGGGGGCTAGCGTCACCCTAGCCCCCCCCGAATATAAAGCCACATATCTTTTGACCTGTAGCTGCGCTAGCTTTCGAAAAAGTTGCGCTAGGTTGAGCTAGCTCTGGAGAACGAGGGCTAGCGTTTTGGATAAAAATTATCAACTGGGGGGGCCAGGTCTACTGAGCCAACCAATCTCACTGTTTTAACAGATACCGCTGCTCAAGAAATTCTTAATAAAAACCAATTGGATGTAATAATGACGGACTGCGCGAAGGCGTTTGATAAGGTGGATCATGGACTTCTGGTCAACAAATTGAATGCATTTGGTTTCTCTGAGAATGTCTGTAAGCTTATGTTCTCTTACCTATTATTACCAACAAGTGAAAGTTGGAAAAAATCTCTCAAGGAGTTTCATGGCTTCATCAGGCGTTCCTCAGGTAAGTAACCTGGGACCTCTTTTGTTTGCCATTTTTATAAACGATTTGCCAGATTGTATTAATTTCTCTGATAGTCTGTTGTTTGCAGATGACTTCAAAATGTTTAAAATAATTAAGAGTACAGAAGACTGTGTGGCTTTACAAGAAAACCTAAATTGTGTTTCAAAGTGGTTTAACAAAAACAAGATTTTCCTAAATGTAAGTAATCAAAACTTATGTTTAACACTCACTATCAGATTATTGCGAGTAAGGCATTCAAGGTTCTGGGCTTTATTATTAGAAACTCTAAGTATTTCCAATTTAAACACTGTTATTAGACTATACAATGCGCTGGTCAGACCGCATTTAGAGTATGCTTGTGTTATATGGGCACCGCAGGCAAAAGTTAACTGTGATATAATTGAAAAGTCCAAAAAAGATGTTTAAGATATTTATTTATTAGGACACATAGTGTATATCCTTATATGATCTCTTATAGTTCAATGCTAAGTGAATTTAATATTAAAAAATTGAGTACCAGGAGAAGTATGCAGTGTTGTTATCTTTGTATGTCATATTTTAAATAGTGTCAAGTACAGGCACAGTTATTTAATTAATAGAATTGCATTCCATGTTCCTAAAATTGTTCTTAGTTAGAAATATTGAACAGAAGATATTTCAAGATAATGTATTTAGCTGTTCACCGCTAAACAATATGCTGCGCGAATGTAACAGATTGGTAAGGGAATCTGATATTGATTTATTTAATACAAATACCTTTGCCATAAGATCTTTTTTTTAATACCAAAATTTTACTAGTTTTTTTTTAATCTCTGTGATTGTTATTTTATATTTTTTATATTTTATATTTTATGTGTAACTTAGTATAAGTCTAACTTTTTGTGTTTCTTTTTAATTTAGCCATAGTGGATATTAGGGTATCAGTAAGCACTCTTGTATTGTAAGTAACTCTTAAAGGAGTATATAGGAGTATATATGAATAAATAAATAAATAAATAAATAAGTAAATAAACATCATAATTGCTGAGAAAAATTGAATATTCTTCAGTATATTTTTGTCCTAATACCCGAGCTAATACCATTATTTTTTTGTAACACGATGGATGATATCCTAAATACTCTGGGGCGAGTTCAGAAATAACACACCGGGTGTGAGTGCGATTTTATGGGTATGACTGAAATGACAATTCTTAGGCGACGACTTTCGTATGAATTTCTGAACGCTTGGTGTGACCAATCGAGCCTCTCCTCAAAAATTTCACCAAATGTATTAAGATTACTTTTTTTTGTTGTTCATTTTTTTAATTTGAAGAAAAAACGTTAATTCTTATTTGTGTTTTGTATATTTGGTGAGATTAATGAGATTTTGGGAGGAATGGTTGACATTGTTGACATAAAGACACAACCACACCGCAGCCACACCAAAAAATTATGGTGTGACCGGTGCGACACCTGGAGCGCGCCCGAAGTACTTTCTGAACGGAACATAGTGCGCGCACTCGGTGTGTCTATAGCATTTGTAAACGGCTAGTGCGTCGCACCGGTGTCACACTCACACTGAGTGTGTCATTCCTGAACTCGCCCCTGCTGATTCCTCGGTTAACTCAACATTTTGATACTTAAAACCTTTTTTTTGCGAAATATAAACGTTTCAAATATTTTATTATCGAAATCGAGGGTTACCGGTTAACTTTCACCACATAAAAAAATAACTTTTTCATTTTTTATTATAAACTCAAGACACAAACCAAGTTCACAAACAGCGTAGATATAATGATAAAAACATAAAAAATTGTTTATTCCAAATTCTTCTAGCTTAGAAGCTTAGTCGCTCTTTTACTTCTATTCGGGTTTCTTTTCCAGCACATAGACACATAGTACTTCTCTGTCGCGCGTTATTCTCTTCTAATTTTCAAACCTAAAGTCTTGCAAACCTTAGGTTCTGCCGGTTTTTGTTTTGGCAACCCAATACCATCGTGTTCGCAGTTAAATTATCTACATTTCCATATAAATTATATAGGAAACTCTATAACTACAAAATACTCATTCGAAGTTAGGTATCTTTTGACACCTGACAACCTGAACTTTTGCAGGGAAAAAAAGTGGCAACCATACTTTGGTTTTTTATATGCATATTTTACTCTCTATTAGTAATAAATTTATCCGGAAACAATTATGAAATAAAATTGACATACATAATTTTATATTAAAAATAGCCCTGCAAGGATATGGGCCGGCAACCATAACAAGTTTTCTTTATCAAAACATTATCTTGTTAAATTTTGAGTTTCATTAGGAAACTCGATGGGTGAAGGGCGCTCTAAGTCGAGATCTTGTACTATTAGGAATTAATTCACAAACACAGTCTAGCAACTCAAAATACCTTCCTGCATGTTTTATAGTTTTGCTATAACAGAAATGTAAAGGGATATAGGATTTACTGGAAGAGCGTGATAAAAAAAAAACAAAAAGGTAAAAAGCACAAAAATAACAACAAAAATAAAAATAAAAATAATTTATTATAACATGCTAAAAACACAATACATACATGCACAAGAAAAAACTAAACTACCAGTAAAAACGTTCAAGTCATACATTTGGATTATAAAATTCATCAGCTCAATGATAACGTTTTAACAGGTAGACTAAAGGCTTGCACACTAAAAAACTATCATAATTTATGAAAAATGTTCAATTTTAACTTCCGATTATTTTACTAAGCAGGCAATCAAAAATGAGTTCTGAAAGTTGGCAGCTTAACTGGATAATCAAAGGGTCACGCATAAAAATAAATATTCCTTGTGACATTTTTATGTACTTTACCCAAGTTTTCTCAATTTGTTAAACTTATTTCAAGTACTTTTTTATCTGTTAATGTTGCTAATCCAGTCAGTACTTTTGTATGTTTGCAAATTTTGGAAATGTGCTGAATAAACAATTAAATACAAAAAACTATCTACAATTAGCAATTTGTGGTATTCGAGTTATATTTGATAAAAAGTGAGAGCTAAATTCAATATCGTATCTAATTATTAAGTTTTTTTTTGTTAAATTTAACCTAGTTAGTCAAGTTATAATTTACCAAGTGAAATATTGGAATGCAACAGTTTGAACTGTTTGAGAAAAGTTTCACCAAAATGTGAAAAATGAAAAATATTTAAGCGTAAGAACAAAAAAAAGCAAATCGAAGAGCCTGAAAACAAATACAATTTTGAACCAAAAGGAACAGATAAAAACATAGAGGCGAATACAAAAAAAAAAAAAACGTAATAAGTTATGCCTATTAGGTACTATAAAAAAACACACAATATAATATGTAAATAAAATGGAAACTAACATTATCTTTGGTACCATAAGACAAAAAAACAAACTAAATAAAGCGAGGCAAAGTGTTCCTAAAAATTTTATACACATTAAAAGGCAGAACGTACACTGGATTCGTTTTCATTAGGGATCCCAATCCCTACATTTTTGGATCCCGGACAAAATTCGTGTCCTTAAATCCCGGGATTCCTAAAATTTGAATCAAATCCTGAAAAAAGTATTAGTGAAAAAGATAGTCTGGTACGATTAAAACCTAATAAAAAATGGAAATGATATGATCAATTCCCAAGATGATAGTAATAATGACAGATATTTTTGTTAAATGAAGCTGGCAATCTTGGAAAAAATTTCCAACTTTCCTATGATTGCATTAAAACTATTCTGCCATCAAACATCAAGGGTTAAATATTTTTTTCTTTGGCTGATAAAAATATGTTCCAAAGTTAGGAAGCTACATATTGAAAACAATTTTTATGTATTGTGGTCGAAGGAAAGTAACTAAGTGTGGCATGATGATGTTTGATTCTGTTTTTTTCTAAAATTTATTGAATACGTTTCTCCAACCATGGGGAAGAAGTAGGTATGTAGGTAGTCACAAAGTAAATTATTTGAAAAAATTGAGTATGTTCGTTTTGATAAAATATTTCAGGATTGAAATCCCTATTCTATGAGTCCATGTATGTACAGTATTGTTAAATGTAGAGGATGAAAAACAGATCCAGTGGACGGAGCCACACTAGGGCTTTAATTAAGCACAAAAATAAATATATAATTTTGGTCATCCATTATAAACCTAAAAAAGCACTCCACTCAATAAAACGTCTCAGTCTCTCCTACCTTATTCAGAAGCTGGTTATCCAGTTGGCTGTCAATTTCCTTCAATTGATTATCCAACTGTTGTTTTGTGGCATCATAATTCTTGTTGGTCTCGTATTGGCTATAGGAAGGCATGTGGTGGTATGAAGTCTCACTTCCGGCGTAGGAATTGCCTGATCCATAAGCTGTCGAGTTTGTCAAACAGGTACTTACTGAAAGTAGCAGACATTTTCAGAATAAATGAAACTTTTTATCAGTAAATTGTTTAGATACTGGCACTGACCTAATTCTTCCCTGGAAACTGTCGCACCCAATCCAAGGTCCATGTCAGTACCTCCCAAACTAGGGTGCGGAGTATGATGGGGAGATCTACCCAACATTGACATATCCTTGTCGTAGGTATGCTTCTGGAGTACCTTGATCATAGCATCTTTCTCTGCCAACTTTGATTCTAGATCTTTCAATCTGAAAAAAGTATTGTGCCATGTAGGTATTTTCATCAAAAAAAGTTTTAGAGTCAAAAATGTAGAACAAAAAATAATCACCTGGATTCTAAGTCTGCTAACTTTTTTTGAGAGGCATGCACTTCATCCATGTGCCTGATTTTTTCATTTCTAGCCTCTGCAATTATTTTTTCAGTCTCTTGGCTAGTTTTTTCCAAAGCTGCAATCTTGGCGTCTCTGTAAAACAAATAAACAATCCAATTTTGTACAAATAATAAAAAAATAAACCCTTACTTTGGAATACTTGCAGCGTCAATAGCGGCTTGCCTCAGAGCATTTTCTTCCAAGAATCTTTGTTCCCACTTAGCACATTCACCTTCAAGGCGCATAAGATTTTCGTCTTTTTCCCTTAGTTGCCTTTTCAGTTCTGAAGCTGACTCGTTTCCTGATCCGTGAGGCATATCCCAACTACCTTTTCTTTCACCCAAACCTAAAAAAAAATTATTGAATAACAAAAGAACTTCCTATTACAGCTTTATTTAAATACCTTGTATAGCTTTTGCTCTTTGCAACTCGATTTCCAGTTGTAATCGTAATTTTCGTTCGGTTTCTTCTCGTCGATCTCCAGCTAACTGAAGAGAGTACAGTGCCCTTTGCAGCTGAGCAACTCGTTCGACATATACTTGCTTCTTACGATTCTAAAGAAAAATGTTTACAATAGATTTGAAAAAAAGGAGTAAACACTACTTACCTCTTCTTCTAATCTCACGACATTGCCTTGTGCGTTTGTCAAAGCCGTATCTAAAATGTCAATATGAGTTCTTTGTTCTTGCAGAGTAGCTCGTTGCGCAGCAAGTTCTATTTCTTGTCTATCTTTTGCAGCAGCTAATTCTTTATCTGAAAATGGTTTTGGTTTATTTTAGCACCACAACGTGACAATTGATAACATTACAGGGTTGAGATACACAAAAACCATTGAGGTAGACAAAAACCCAGTGGATTTTGGGATTTTTGTGTCAAAAATCATAGTGGGTGCAAAATATCAATTCAAAATTTAGCATCATTCACAATTTTCCTATCTACAGGGTCCCGGATAAGGATGCACTCTACAGAGATCTCAGTAACCATAAGAGATACAGAGTTGGTTAAATTTGGAAGAAGTTGTACATTACTGAGCTCAGTGACGTTATGTTTTGATATTTCGGAAATTCTGAATGATTCTGAAGATATCCATAAAAAACCGAATTTTGCCTAAATCGTTTTTATTTTCTTCTGACTTTATTTAAAATGATATCGCAAAATAAACTTCACATTCTCATTGCCACTTTTTCTCCACTACATGTTATTGGATTTTTGATCAGACGTTTCGTTTTTTCGAGATCATCATCAACTTTTTTTTTTCAAATGGTCGAAATTTTTCGTTTTATGCCTAATAAACTCTACTTTTCATTCTAAATCCAACGACATATCAAGCTGATAATTCCAGGAATATTAATTGTCATTAGTGGTCCGATTAACGGGCCTCCGCGATCTCCAGACATTACCATGGAATTTGTCTTTCGAGGTATGAAGTTAACTGACTTTTCTAAATCCATCGGTGTAATGTCTGGAGATCGCGGAGGCCTAGTTAATGAGACCACTAGTGGAAATTAATATTCCTGGAATTATGAACTTGATATGTCGTTGGATATAGAATAAAAAGTAGAATTTATTGGGCATAAAATCAAAAATTTTGACCATTGGGAAAAACAAAGCTGATGATGATCGCGAGGAAACGGTCTGATCAAAAATCTAATAACATTATAATAATAATAATAATAAATGCCTTTTATTTCACCAAAAATATAGTTTATAAAACATTGATAACAGACGGCGAGATCTAGCTTATGCTACTCCATCTAACCGTCTTTGTTCTTAAAAACTATCTATATTACTATTTTAACCCAACCAAGTAGATGAATAGATACAACAATAATATTCAAACTATATACTTAAGACTTAAGTTTACGAGATATAGGTACAATCCACACAAAAAAAATAAAATAAAATAATTAAAAAAAACAACAAAATAAAATAAATCAGTCGAATGACGGTAAACAAAATTAATTTCTTTGATTTAAAGTAAACAGTTTGACGGCTTTTCTGAAGCCGGCCAAAGAGGAGAGGGATTTTACACCGGCAGGCAGCGCATTATATACTTTCACGGCACTATAACTAAATGAACCCTGAAATATAGTTGTTCGATGTTTAGGAACAGCAAAACTTTGACTATTGCGTGTTGATCGACCGTGTATGCTAGAATTTAAAATTAACCTCTCATGAAGATACTCGGGTAGACCGTTTTTTACAATTTTATAGACAAGTGTTGCCATGTGAACAAAAAATCTATCATCCAGTCTAAGCCATTTAGAGTTCCGATACAATTCATCATATTAGTTAGGTTAGAATCGCAAATTGGCGCGGGTTCCTAGTTCAAAAATTAATACATTGCTGTCTTATGAGGAATCAATTTTAAAAGCGTCTGTAGACGTGATAGAACGTTTGTAACGGAATTGAGTTGTATAAATAGTTTTTTTAATATGTTAATTAAGTGAGAGAGTGTTTGAAAGTTGAATAAACATTGTTAAAATAAAAATATTACCAATTTAAGAAGCCGATGTTTGTATAAAAAACGTATGTCGTTGCTTGATCCATAAGTATATATGAGTACCTAATTATAATAAAATAAAAGTTTACCTACATACTTGGTTAGTAAATGTACTTCAATAATCCAAAAAAATTGAAAAATAAATGACTGAACTAGTGATAAATAAATAAATAAACAATTCACCAACAATCATAACACAACACACAACCTCACTTTCTCTCAGCTGGTTTTAGACCCGACGTACGTCCACTGAAAACAGACACTTTTAATTAAAATCATTTGTATTTTTAATTCATACGTCTGAAAAAACAATTAGAGCATGAATTTTAGAGAAATATGTTCAAAGTTTGACGTACAATAGGTTCCAATACTGAGAAATGCCCAGAACCCAAGATATTCCCGTCTGAAAATCACTCTTTTGAATCCCCCATAAGAAATACATTGCTGTCAAATTTGTTGAAATGTGTTTAGGAACCCATTTTAAATTTCGCGCCCGATTTTTCCTAACCTAACTAATATGGTGAATGGAGTCACATGATCAAATTTCCTAGCATTCAGACAAAATTTAAGACATGCATTTGAAGCCTTTGAAGACTGTATTTTTCCCTCTGTGTAAGGGCTGGTCAATATATTAAGTCACCGTATGAAAGTAAAGATAATATCAATGAATCGGTGAGTCTCAACTTAACTTCTGTTGTTAGTATATTTTTGTACATGTATAAAATTTTCAATTTGTAATATGATCTTTGCAATAAGCTGGATACATGTGCCTCAAATTTTAGTTGAGTGTCCAAAAAAATCCCTAAATTCTTTTCACAGCTAGAGGGCGTTAACACCGCATTATTAATTTTTATCTCAAAATTATTCAATGAAGATGAACCAAAAATCATAAGTTTAGACTTGACACCATTGAGGACTAACTTGTGAAGGGTAGACACTTCTGAAATTATAGCAAGGTCAGCATTAATAGCCTCCGCAGCCCTAAATGCATCCGTGTGATGGAAAGAATAATAAATTTGAAAATCACTGCATATTGATGAGATGAACATTCTTTTAGATAAGTATAGAAGTCACATGTGTATAAAGAGAACAACATAGGGCCCAAAATGCTACCTTGTGGTACACCTCTCTCAACATCCAAATACTCTGACAAATGTGGCCCCATCAAAACTCTTTGTCTTCTTTCTAAAAGGTAATCATTTATTAATTCCAGTGCAGTGTCCTGAAGACCAAAATATTTAAGTTTGGAGACAAGTTTTGAGTGGACCAACGTATCAAATGCCTTACTATAGTCCAATAAGACCAAAGCAGTCATCTTACCCTGATCCTGCGCCCTAAAAATGTTGTCCCAAACATGTAGTAACGCTGTTGTGGTACTATGTTCGGCTCTAAAACCTGACTGGGTAGTGGGCAAAATACGGTTTCCCATAACAAACTTACCCAATTGCTCATTCATTACCTTTTCCAGTATCTTGGATAGTGTCGGTAAAATACTGACGGGGCGAAAGTGTGATATATCTGTCGGATTATTATTTTTTGCCGCTGGGATAATGTCGGCACTCTTCCATTGAGTTGGAAATTTTGATGTTCTAAGGCAAAAGTTTATTATAAAAGTAATATACTTTGTAAGGTATGGAACTACCAGAGAAATCATCTTTAAATCTATCCCATCAGAGCCCCTCGCATTACTTTTTATTTTAGAAATCACACTTTCGATGTACTCATCATTGACCTCAACGAACTTGAAACTTTCCCTTATATTATAATGCACTTTATTATCATATTTGTCATTAAAAGGATTGTCAGGTAATGAATTAATTTTGGGAACACTATCGATAAAAAAATTATTTAATTCAGTAGCTGACCTAGCATTTATCAAATCAGTGTTAGGTGATGATGATTTACATATGTTCATATTATTTAAAGTCTTCCAAAACGTTTTAGGATCCGTTTTAAATTTATGCTGAAGGTACGCCCGTTTTTCATTACGTACAGCAGCTGTCACAAAATTTCGAAGCTGTTTATATTCCCTTAAGGAAGCTTCGGTTTTAAGTCTTTTGTATTTGGAAAGTGCTTTTTGGCGCAACCCCATCATAAACCTGATATTATCCGTTATCCAAGGTGCAGCAGGTTTTGTGAATCTCGAAGTTTTATAGGGAGCATGTAATTCAAATATTTTCAATAAATTTATACTAAAGAAATTTACCATTTCATCGACGTCACTCATAGTTAGTAATAAGTTCCATTGAACTCCAAATAGATCATTGAGAAAGTCTTCGATTATGAAATTGGAATAATCTCGATAAGTACGATAAGTAACGGGTACTTTTGGTTTTTGGAAATTTAATTGAGTATACACTAAACAATGATCGGAAATGCTATCCATATTTATCACTTGTACATCGGTAGACAATTCTGGGACTGAAACCACAATCAGGTCAATCAGGGTACAGTTATTTTGAGAAAATCGAGTAGTCAACTTTATCAGCTGAGAGAGATTATACTTTTTAAGTAATCTGTTCAAATGGGTTAACCCGGGGTTACCTTCATCCAAACAGTTTACGTTGAAATCACCACCAAACAGAAGACCAGAGAATGAAGACAAGAAATCAGTAAGAGAGTTTTCCAAATCATCTAAACATGCATTCAAATTAGCATTAGGTGGCCGGTATAGTGATCCAAAACAAAAGGTTTTATTATTAATTTTCACACTGATCCAAAGTTCTTCCAAAAGGCTAGACTGAGGAGGTATTTCCAATATTTTAAATTTAAGAGATTTTTTAATATAGAAAGCCACCCCTCCCCCGCGACTATCTCGATCTTTTCTCAATAAGGTATAGTCAGGTATTTCTATATTTTCCGTTAGTATCGCACTATGCAACCAGGTCTCAGATAAACCAATGATATCATAACCCTCCGCCCCAACAAACTCAAGAAAAGCGTCAAACTGTGAGCATAGTGACCGAATATTAAAATGCGCAAAACAAAAATTTTCCCTCGCATTCGCCATAAATAAACTAAATTTAAATATCCAAACCAAAGCTCCACACTGTATATTATTACTAAATTATTTACTATTTTTTAGGGGTATACTAGCTTCAGTTAATTAATTCACAAAATTGCAATTTATTGTACCAAAAAAATAAATATAGTATTATAGTATTTATAATTATCACTTTCATTCCTTAGGCATATTCTTAAATAATGTATAAATCACATGTAGGTAGGTATTATTTATTGAGAAGAAAAG